TTTTTTTTCAAGTTTTTTCTTTTTTAATTTATTTTGCCTAACTCTTTGTCTGAAGGAGCCCTGGGGTATAGCAACTTACGCTTTGGGCTACTAACCACAGGTCAGCAGTAGGAAAGCCAGTAGAGATGTATAGTCTAGGAAACCCACAGGAGCAGTTCGATTTTATCCCATGAGGTCACTATGAGTCAGAGTCAACTCAATGGCAGCAAGTCTGAGTTGTTTCTCTTGAGCCCTGGTGGCATTGTGGAGTGAGCACAGGACTGTGAACTGCAAGGTCAGTGGTTCAGACTCCCATTGCTTCCTGGGAGGAGGGAGGCTATCTTCTCCCATTAAGATTTATAGTCTCTGGCTAGATGTCAGTGTTTGTAGTGGGGGAACTATTTATCTAAAATTAAATTACAGTTCAGTATCAACCATTTTATTGTTATCAGGGAAATCACTAAGTAGTCCAGAACTTAATGGGTTATTTATTTGCAATATAATTGCCTACAGGTTTTATTTTCCAATTTTGCTATCTGAATTATATCTTTTTTCTATAATTAAAAAGCACAGTTATAATAAGAAATAAACATCTTAAAATATAAAAGCCAAACCAAACTCACTGCCATCGATGCCACCTCTTGGCAAGTCTGTGGGACGGGGCAGAACTACCCTTGTGAAGTTCTGAGACGGTAACTCTTTACAGAAAGCCTCGTGGCGCGGCGGTGATTTCAAACCATGCACCTTGACAGTTAGCTGCCCAACTCGCAATCACCACACCCTCTCATGAAAAACGCTTAAGCAATGATCGAAACAGGCGACTGTTGCAAGTGAATAAACCATTTGTCAATAAGTTATTGCAACTAGGAATTCAAATGGACTATTTGGAAAGATGCATAGATGGCAAGAATCCTCTTGCGTGAGAATGACACTAGGAGGATGGGGGGCACGTGAGGAATCGAAGGAAAGGCGCACAGTCACCCGAGTATGCCGGCTTCCAGGAGCAAGGTCAGCGGAATGGTGAACTTCCTGAGCACAGTAAACATCGGCAAACTGTCAGGAAAAGAGTTATGTGCATGTCAGACACCAAGTTATCTTTTCCAATTCACTTTACATTTTTATTAAGCCTATTAGATTCCCAAATTCAATATAAAGAAGTAATCTTAATTCAAATATATACCGTTCTTTATAACAAATACAATGCATAGTAAATAATTTTATACCATTTTTACTTATTAGCAATTTAAAACATTCTGCTAATAAAAATACAAGGGATACCAAAAGTCTAAAGAACCCTGAAACGGATAACACATTCTGATTTCAAACCTTACTGCAAAGCGAGAATAATCAACACGACCTATTCCTGGCATAAAAATAGACATGCAATCAATGGAATAAAACAGAGAATTCAGAAATACATCATTACAACCACGGTCAGTTGATTCTTGACAAGGGTGTCAAGATGATGCCATGGCGAAAGAAGAGCCTTTTAATGAGTATACTGGAACAATTGAATATCCACATCCCAAACTGTCATATCCTGTACAAAAAGTCAGCCATATTCAGTGCCCATATACCTTGACCTCACAGGAATATTTGTTAACTAAACAATCCCTCCCTCCCCTTTGGCTTCTGAGGCAACTTATTTACTTTATTCTCTTTCTTTTCACTGGCTAGCCTTTGCTGGCTTCCTCCTCTTTGCCCAACAGTCCCAACATTACAGTGGTCTGAGGTTCAAACCTTATAGGAGGGGATTTTAAAAGTTTGTGGATAAACAAGCGGCCATCTAGCTGAGAAGCAACAAGGCTCACATAGAAGAAGCACACCAGCCTGTGTGATCATGAGGTGTCAATGGGATCAGTACCCTGTTTCCCCAAAAATAAGACAGTGTCTTATATTAATTTTTGCTCCCAAAGATGCATGAGGTCTTATTTTCAGGGGATGTCTTATTTTTCTATGAAGATGAATACAGTACACATTTATTATTTACTGTTTTATTGTTTTATTAAAAGAGACCTTGCACTTCCTGTCTGCTCTGGCTGTGCTGCGGCCACAGTGAGCTGCATGGCGGCGCCCACCGCTATGGTCCAGAGTCAAGAATTACGGTAGCTTCGGGGGGCATTATTTTTGGGGAGGTCTTATTTTCGGGGTGCCTTATATTTCCATGAGAGCCAAAACTGTAAGTAAGTCTTATTTTCGGGGGATTTCTTACTTTCGGGGAAACAGGGTATCAAACATCTACAACCCAGAACAAAATCATACCCAATGTGAAGGGGGGAGGCATGGAGTAGAGACCCAAAGCCCATCTGTAGACAACTGGATATCCCCTCACAGAAGGATCACAAGGAAGAGATAAGCAAGTCAGGGTGCAGTATAGCACCAATGAAACACACAACTTTTCTCTAGTTCTTTAATGCTTCCCTCCCCCCACTATCATGACCTCAATTCTACCTTACAAATTGAACATGCACACTGCTACAGATAAGAGCCTGCCACACAGAGAATCTAGGATAGATAAACTCCCCAGGGCCAACAATGAGAACAGAGATACCAGGAGGATAAGGGGAAGGTGGGGTAAGAGAGAGGGAATCATATATCATATATGGATCAACATATACCCCCCTCCCCAGGGGGATGAATGAGTTAGTTAATTGTGCCAGCCTGGCCGATAATCACATGTGGTGCTGGTTGAAAGACGGAGGGATAAATGGGTGGTGAAGCCTCGGCTTTCTAGTTCTCGGGTCTCTTGTTTTGTGATGGTTGCATCGGGTGCAGCTGCCTTAGCAGTTCCCTGCTTCAGCTTGCAAGATTGACTTCCTACAAGACATCCCCAAGGAGAAGCCGCATGGATCTATCCTGATGCAGCCCTGGGTGCTGGAGCAGCCATGTGGAGACCCCTGCCAGTGCTGAGATGCTTACATGTTCACTGACTCAGCTTTCCTCCTGCAGTCGGCATTATTGCCTCTGTTTTGTGAGGTGAAGGATTTTGTGGACTGGTGTTGGGTATGGGTTAATGTTGGACTTGTGGGCTTGGGCAGCATTGGGTTGGGATGTTTTCGTGATGCACATTTTCATTGCATAAAACTCTCTCTTATACGTGAGTTGCTGTGGATTTGTTTCTCCAAAGTACCTAGACTAATACAATGAACAACAGAAAAGCGGGTGAGGTCGACAGAGGAAAATGAAAGATGTGAAAACAATAATCTATAACTTATGAAGGGTTCGTGAGGGAGGGGGGGGAAGGGGGGAAACTAGGAGTTGATATCAAGGGCTCAAGTAGGAAAAATGCTTTGAAAATGATGATGGCAGCATATGTACAAATTTGCTTGACACAATGGATGAATGTATGGATTGTGATGGGAGATGTAAGAGTCCCCAATAAAAGTATTTTTTTAATTGTGGAAAAATTCCGCCATAAATTCCATAATTCAATTTTTCCATGAATGTTTTAAGTCCCTTTAGATCAAGCAAAGAAAAACCCATAAATTTATAGTGACAATAAAGGAGAAAAACACAACCCTCTCTGGTCAAACTAAAGGGAATGGGACACTAATTTAGTACTCTGGACATTTAGAAACACAGTATTTATCCTGACTTTCCTGAGTGGGATAGTTGAAATTTGTCTTAATTGAAGAATTTTAGACAATAAGTGCAGAAAGAATGAGAGAACTAGAAAGTTACCATATTGCAATTTCTAACAATATTACAGATCTAGCCAATGAGCATCAATGCATGGTAAACCCATTAGGTGAAAGATTAACCCCTTACAATAATCTAAAGTAGAATAAATCAATTAAATATCATTGAAAGTAGGATAGCGTATCATGTACGCCATGCTAGAAGCACCTAGCATCACCTGTGAAGTACTCGTACCTGAAAACTGACTTGCATTCAGACCTCTAGAACCAACAATAAACAAAACCACACTTGCGGAGCTGGTTCCGACACACAGTACATGGGGTAGAACTGCACTCCGCAGGGGTTTCAAGGTTGCAACCTTTCATAAGCAGATCACCAGGCCTGGCTTCTCACCTCTCGGTGAGCTTTAACCACCAATCTTTGTTAGTAGTTGAGTGCTTAAGCGATTTCACCACCAAGTGAAGCCTTACTTTGGGGAAAATGTGAAGGATTGAGAAACACATTATATGGTGTCATAAACAAGCAAATCATCCTTCTATCTTCTCAGGATCATTGCTGATGCCTCATCCTTGTAAGCTTGCTGCCATCCTAGAATCCTAGTTTTTGAGACAGCAGCCCCCAAGGTGTGACGTAGGCAGATGCTAGTGCTAACAGAAGTCATCCTTTATGGCGGCAGGTGAACTCACAGACCAGCCAGGGGCTACATGGCAAAGTGGAGTTGCATCTACAATAATTTTTTTTAACTCACTGCCATGAGTCAATTCTGGCTCATAGCAAGCCTATAAAGCAGTCTAGAACTGTCCCTGTGGGTTTCCAAGGCTATAACTCTTTATGAGAATAGAAAGCCTCATCTGTCTCCTGTACTACCTACAGTCTCACTGCCATCGAGTTGATGCCAACTCAGTGTGGCACCTGTGGGTTTCCTAGACTGCAACTGCAGTCTAGGAAGTGGACTGCCCTGTCCTTCTCTCAAGGAGCAGCTGGGGGTTTCGAACTTCCAACCTTTTGGATCGCAGCCCAACACATAACTACTACACCACCAAGGCTCTTCATCATCTACAATAAGCTACTTTAATCCAAATTTGAACTAGTCAAAATACCATTAAGAAAAAAATTACTATACCAACAAATCAATTAAGATTGATTACTTTAAAAAAAACCAACAGCCCACACTTTGTTTTTCACAACTTGTCCTTTCTGAGCAGGAGCAAAAGATTACAGACTGAAGTTCCAATTTCTCAAGCTCTATGCCCTTCTCCCACTGTTCTTCTTCCTACTTGCTTCTCTTCTGCTCTCATTATATAAACAAGTTTTCCTCATGCTCTGCAAACGCTTAATTTTCTTATTATTTAGGTCTTCATTCATGTGTGTTTGTTACATGTGAAAGGGGTCCAAAATATCTATAGGAAAATGGAACTGAAAGATGATGGAAAATTTCCATAAGTTTTTAAAAACCCTTTAATATTCTATGTCATGTTTTCCTATTGATAGGATGACTTTGTTTCAACACCTTCATGTTGTTTTTTTTCCCCAGGGACTTCTAAGACATACAATGAAGCAAAGGGCTCTAAAACAAGCAAAGACAAACTACAGGCGTCTAAAGCCTAGACTTCAAAAATAACGTGCCATTTATTTTCCCAGCAGTAAACCTAAGGCCCTGGATGGCATAGTAGTTAACGTCTGATTACTAATGTAAAGTTTGGCAGTTCAAACCCACTGACCAGCACCAAGGAAGAAAGGCCTAGGAATCTGCTCTGTAAAGATTGAACCCTGAAAATTCCATGTGCAGTTCTATACTGTAACGCTGGGGCTGCCACGAGTCAGATGCAACTCAATGGATAAAGGGTTTTTGTTTTGGTTTGGTTTGGTTTAAGCTTGACTGCAACCAAATCTGATAAAATATTATTTTTATAAAACAGCAATGAAGTAGAAAGTTATATAGAGCCACATGCATGTTGATGGATCTTCCTAGATAAACCAGACATTCTCTACCATGAAGTCTACAAGCCTGGTATGTTCAGACTTGAATACGAAGAAATACAAAAATTAATTTTCCAACATTCCTCAAAGCATTAGCAAATTAAACAGAGAATTCCACCAATGCATGACCACACCACCACCAGGCCTCCTTTTTTATCATTAGGAGTAAATAAATGAAGAGCCTCCCATCTACCATTATCTCATACTCTACCTTAATTTACTTGTGCTTGATAATCCACTTAGGTGGTTTCCAACATAAAGGAGAGGCAGAGGAAATAGCTTTAAGGAAAAAAAGAAGAAGAAGAACATGGTTATAATTCCAAATATACATTTTCCTTCGAGTATAAAAATGGTTACATTCACTGCCCCAGTAACCACCTCCCCTTAATGTAGGCAAATGACATGCGTTCAGTGGTGGGATTCAGCTGGTTTGCACCGGTTTGGCAGAACTGATCGATATGTAGTGTGTTGTTGAGTTCGGGGAACCAGTTGTTAAAATGGCCCTTGTAATCAGGGTTTTCTCTAAGGTGGGCGGCTAGACAGCCAACCAATGTAGAAAACATACATTTACATTCCTTACTCTTTTTTTTAATGTTCACCTGCACAACAGTGTATTCTAAGCACCTCTAGCAATGTTCATTCCGTCCATAGGTACAAATAGACACAACTGTGTTTGTAATATTTATTTATTTCATGAAAATTATACTTTTGATGAAATACTACATTTTTATGCCCTTGGATTTGTTACTTCAGTAAACAGATGTATAAAGTAAAGAGAAAACATGCCAAACAACCAGAGGGTGACACACTGTCACACATTTCAGCTTTGTGTTACACTCCAAAGTCCCATGAGCTATTATGAGTGAATTATGCAATTCCTGGAAGTGTCTAAAGAGTTAAAGACATTGTCTTACCAATTGCTATAAATTCAGCTGAAGTGGAAAGTGCTTTCAGAGATGAATATAATATTGTATTAGTCTAGGTACTTTGGAGAAACAAATCCACAGCAATTCACGTATAAGAGAGAGTTTTATGCAAAGAAAATGTGCATCACGAAAACATCCCAACCCAATGCTGCCCAAGCCCACAAGTCCAACATTAACCCATACCCAAC